CATTGTTAGTTAGGTGTTACTGTAACAAAATACCTAAGATAATCAACTTCTAAGGCGCAATGGCTTATGTTGGCTCCAGGTTTTGGAGGTTTCAGTTCATGGGCAGTTGGTCTCATAGTAGCTGTGTTAGGCAGTATATCAAAGAGCAATGAGGGGCAGAGAAAACTCTCAGTTCATGCCAGAAGGAAAAAAAAAAAAAAAAGCAAGAGGGAGAGCCAGGGCCCCAAATCCCTTAAAGGCACATCCTCAATGATCTGACTTTCTCTCTCTAGGCCCCACCTCTTAAAGGTCTCACCATCTAGTGATAGCACCAGGCTGGAGACCAAGCCTTTAATACAAGGCCCTTTAAGGGAACATTCCAGGTCTAAACTATGGCAATCATCCTTACACCACTGGCATACAGCAGAGACTCAAATATCAGTTAAGTAAATGAATGCTTGCATAAGACCCTTCCAAATCTAGGACATCTGTAGTACTCTTGGGTGAAAGGTTATTTTGGGATGGCACTTCTAAAACAAAGTTTAAATAGCCAAGTTTAATTTGGTATTTTTATGTTTCTTTACCTCCCTAGGAAATATGATAAAAGAAAGGTGGGATTATATAGAATTATAGATAAACAGGCAGGCTGGCTTTGATATAGGCAGAAAGGAAATACAAAGTACCAAGTGACGGTATAGCTGGTATTGATTATGCCACCCCTCCCTTTCTCCAGCACTACTCTGGATGCCCATGCCCAGATGTACACAGAAAGCCACTCACACACAAGTCATTCTCAGAAGTTTAGCCGTAACTCACCAACAATTATGTCTCAGTCAGCACCAGAATGAGGCTATCATTAGCACTGTTAATCACTAATTAAAATTTGAAGATCAGATTTTTGGGTACCACTTGCTACATCTGTGCAGTGGGCAGGTCCAAGATGGGAAGCAAACCAAGTTTGAGGGCTGTTTCATCTTAATAGGCGGTTTCTACACTATCACAAATATCATGGGCAATAGAACAACCCTGCTCCTGACTCTAGAGGTACCAAAAAAGTCCCTGATCAGCACAGCTACTGTTGCATGAAGCACTAGGAAAACGCCTCGCTTTATTCCTTATTGCAAAAGAGCGGTCATGATATGTGGCATGTTCCACCTCCCTTAGGACTTGACTGGAAAGGGGAACAAGGGAAGATTCTGGATCCATGACAGTGTTCTTCTCCATCTTGATGGGAGGAGTATGGGTTACACAGGAGTACACATTTGTCAAAACTTACACAACTCTTTTAAGATAACAATGCTGCACTGTGAAGGAATTTTAGCTAGAAAAAAAGAACCATACATTGAAGCCTACTTATGAGGTACATTTTTTGTAAAGGCAGAAACTAGCAAGTATGAAACCACTCTGGATTCTAGACTTGAGGATAATGGAGCCAGGCTTCCCCCTGCTGAGAAAGGTAGTTTGGAAGGTGGGAAGGGGGAAGTTACCATCGCCAAAAGGGTAAATACAGCATGTGCCTTCTAACAGGAAGATTTGGCAGTCTTTCTTTGGCATTTTGCCAAAAAGTCAAAATAACTTGAATTTGAAAAGCCAGAAATAACTTGAATCTAATCACAAGAAAATGGCAGGCAAGTCCAAACTGAGGGAAACTACAGAAAGAACAAGCTATGTGTCAAAAGGTCACAGTTAAGAAAGACAAAGGAAGGTAAATATCTTTTCCAGATGCCCAAGAGACAGGGTAACTAAACCCAGTGCTTCATCCTGAACCGGACACTGCCCTAGAAAGGAAAAGCAAACAAACCTACAAAGAACATTAATGGTGCAAATAACATCTGAAATACAGACTGCTGATTAGATAATAATATTGTGCAAACATTAAATGGCCTTAACTTAATAAGCATATTGTATGTTAGGGAAGAAACCCTCTTTGTTCCGAGGAAATTTACATTGAAGCATTCAGTTAAAATAGAACACAATGTCTTCAATTTACTCTTGAAAATCCATGAGCAAACAGAAAGGGTGGGAGGGGAGTAAAAGGAGGAGGCAGGAAGGGAGGAGAACACAGACCAATGGAAACTATCACAAAGTGTTTAGTAATATTTGTGCAACCTTTCTGTAAGTTTAAGATTTTACCAATTAAAATAAAGTTGCTAAAAAAGATTGCCTCCCCCCCTCCAAAAAAAAAAAAGACCACAACTAATGAAACAACACATTCCAAGGCCTTTCAGGAATACTGGGTTCAAAACGACATTCTTTGCTCTGGCAGAAAGTTCACAACCCTAGTTGGATCTAGATTCCTTTTCTACAAGTGAAAAACAATGCATAAAACCTGCGTCAGGTCATCTTAGCTACTCAGGAGGCTGAGATTTGGAGGGTGGCAGTTTAAGATCAACCATGGAGGAAAATGTCTGAGACTTCATCTCCAGCAAACAGCTGACCTGGAGGTGTGACCTAACTATAGTATGCCAAGCAAGAAAGCAAATTCAAGTACAAGGTGCTGAGTTCAAACCCTGTATTCACCAAAACCCAAACCAAAACAACCAACATGTAAGCTTCGACTAGGCTTTTTCAAGTCTCAGTGATAGACACCATCATCTTAGGAAGTTTATGAGGTGATAAACAGAAACTGAAATAAAAGCCACTTTTATCACTCACCTCCCCCAGAGATTCTTCAATCATTTTTGTGTTTTTTTTTTCTGTAAAATGGAATCATTCATATGGGTATGTACCAAGTGAAGATGGAACAAAGTAGGCGCGGCTTGTGGTAGAGGACTTGGCTTCTCTGCCACAGAAGCTGGCCTTGGTATTCTCCCTCACCTCAGCCAATAGGAGGTTTTCATGGTTTATTGGTATCATTTTTTAGTGAACAAGGTATTATTACCCAACAGAGATTATCGCATCCCTTGACTCTTTTTAACTCTCTGTATTTATATGGCCTTGGTCCTAGGAGAAAAGCACAAATACTAAAATTCATCAAAGCAAAATTAATTTCATAAATGTCAAAGGAAAAACTTTGTAAAATCATTTTTTGTCCCAACGAATCTTTTGAAACAGAAACAACTAAGATACGATCCGGTATAAAAAGTATCACTCTGAGCATGCCTTCAGAAAAAGTCACACGCAGAGAGGGGAATGTAATTGGATTTGTCATTTCAAAGTATTACTGTTAGGTTTGCAGATAATGGAGAATGACATGCTCCTTCGAGGGGAAAGAAGGTAGCCAAATAAGCAAAAGCTGGGTTTCTACTGTAAGGAAACACAGGCACCAAACGAAGCAACCTTTTCAGCACAAAGGAAATCTAATACCCAGACCACATGAAAAGTGATCGCCATGGGAACAGAGCAGCTGTTAAAATCCAAGTCAGCGTGTATCAAATGGCCTAGCATGCGTGTGCAAAGCAGGCCGCTCAGAGCAGCCACGAGAGAGGAAGTGATTCTGTGAAGAAGAAAACAGTGGCAGACCCGTACTTACTTCAGTGCTTACAGTGAGTGTGAAAGGGTAAAGCCACTTTCTGAAAGAATGGGCTCCTCCCCTCCCCTGCTACCAGCTGGTATGCGGAGATTCTTTTATAAACAGTATCTTACCTGCTAATTTAATTAGAAATAGAACAAGAAAGAACGAGTGTGTGCATTTCACTTGGAGAACCCAATTATCTTCATTTCATTGACTTGCTGGACTGACATAAAGCTACAGCTACAGAAAATATGGCCCTGAACCAAATGATCTCAATTTGAAAATTAATACGGCCAAGTTATTTTTAGACCAATTAACTCAGTCATACAAGGAAAAAAAATACACTCGACTGAAGAGTACATAATCCTAAAACTTGGATTTCTGAGGATTGCACGTAGACATGGGCAAAGCCTGGAAGCGAGTGGAAATAGGATACCTCTTACACAAAGGAACCACAGAGAGAAGGGGCTGCTGGGGAATTACCAGCAAATGATAAGCTCTAAATCTCAGCAAAACAACAAAACCGATTTAGTTTACTTTCAGAGCAGAAAAGAAACATGACTCTCAACTTCTGAGCACCTAGAGTTAGCCCATGTGTCAACATGGCTTATCAAATTTGAGTTCAATTTTTTTACAGAAATTAATCAGGATTGCACCTCTCAGAAAATATGATCATGTTAAGTTTCCAACAGAAATCTGTCAACTCAATAATTTACTTCTACCAGCACTGCTGGATGAAGGCAACACAGCAGAGAAATCTGCTCACAGCAGAGGCTTCTGCTCTGCACACAGGACCTCAACAGGAAACCTTTCTCATCAGTTAAGAGGGTTGTTTTGTTGAGACAGGGTCTCCCAGGCTGGCCTCGAACTTGTGAGCCTCTACAGGGCTGGGATTAGCAAACAGGAGTTTTAAAAGCTCAGGTTAAATCACTAGGCATTTAGAAGGCTTAAAGGGACATCCAAAAGGAAATCAGCTGTCACATATAGTATACAAGTAAGAATAACTCAGACAGCATCTCAGAGCCTATTAAAACCGAGACGCCATCACTATAGTTAGAGATACTCAGCCGGTTCCCATTACTGTGGGACAGCACACCAGATCTATTTTTAGAGCTGCTGGAAAGATCAAAGGAGAAGGGGCCTTTTATTGGCTCCCTACCCAGACCCTAATCTCTGTTTACTTTTCCTTTGTCATTATGTAGATCTCCAAAAGACACCCTGGGCAGGACTACCCCAATTCCCCTCATCCAGAACACTTAAAAACTGCTTGGTCTTCTAGGGTCTCTGAAGGGAGGGAAACCCCCTGGGGAGGAACAAAGTAAGATCAGTGACACTCAAGTTTAAGCCCAAACTGCTACAACACAACCATTGATACAGGCCTAAAATACCATAAATCAAGCCTTCTCAGTCTGGGTTCTTTGTGACCCATGGAAACAGGACAGAGTCCTTCCTGAACTTCCCCTCCTCACAGGAAGCCACGGCTGGTTTCAGATGCTGGCTGGTAAGTTGGAGGTTCAAGGCTGAAGGCTTACTTCAAAACAAGCTCCACAAACACAAAGTGACTTACTTTGGAGGAACAGGCAGTACATTTGTCAAATGCCAGGCTGACAGGAAGGACATTATCAAACCGTGACAGAAACCCCCGGATCTAAAAACAAACAAAAGAGAACAGTTTGTGTCAAGCATAAAATGGCCACATCTATGAAAATGCTTAGGTCTGACAAGGAAATGATTATTAAGGGGGGTGGGGGGTGGGGGGAGATTCCTGACAGAGACTACTACAAAAAATGGAGTTCCACTTGAGTGTTTCCCCTTGTACTGCAATTGTCTTGGTGAGCCCAGGTCCTTTATTCCTTTAGGAACCAGGGCCGATATGATTTTCAAATATCGGAGAACAAAAGGCAAACTGACCCCCAAATACAAAAGGCAAGCTGTAATAGCTCAAGTGTTAACAAGTGTATTAAAAGAATAACAGGTCAGGGGCCTGTGTGTGTGGCTCAACATACGAGTGCTTCCCAAGTGCACAAGTCTTGGGTGTTTCCCCAGCCCCCTAAAATGAAACCAATCCCTGTCAAGGTTTGACTCTGCCTCTTCTACAGAAGGACAGTGATGAGATAGAATGTGACATGGTGGGTGGGGGTGGGGTGGAGGGGTGTGAGGGGCTGGCCAGAGGCTCCAGGGAACAGAAGACACATGGTCCTAAACAGTTACTCAACAGTTAGGCTCCATTGGTGGGGAAACAGCACCACCTGGGGTAGAGACTTCTCCCTGCAGCTAAGTCATAATCAGTGAAGTCAGCACACAGGCCCTGCCCATTGTGGCTGTGAGGTGTGCAGGAACATAGTTATGGGGTCGGTAGCAGGGTAGTAAAACCGAGTCTCCACAGGATTGCAGAATGACAGACCAGTGTTCATTATTTCCTCTTCCCAATGACTTTCTTCTTCCCTTGTGGCACTAAGCATGGAACCCATAGCTCTACCACTGAGCTACTTCCCCAGCGCAACCACCTCATTTTACCTTGACAAAACTAACTAAGGCTCAGAAAGGTGAAGCATCTTGGCTCAGGTAAGCAGTAAGTGATAAAGTTAAGATTCAAAAGAATGCTAGGCGCCGGTGGCTCACACCTATAATCCTAGCTACTCAGGAGGCTGAGATCTGAGGATCGCGGCTCAAAGCCAGCGGGGGCAGGAAAGTCCGTGAGACTCTTATCTCCAATAAACCACCAGAAAACCGGAAGTGGCGCTGTGGCTCAAGTGCTAGAGCGCTCGCTTTGAGCTGAAGAGTGCAGGGACAACGCCCAGGCCTAGAGTTCAAGCCCCATTACTGACCAAAAAAAAAATTTTAAAGAAGACCTATAGACTACAAACCTGGCTTAGGCCCTGGCTTCCCATGGTTGCAAGCTGCAGGCTCGGGCTAGATCACTGTTTCTTCTTTCCCGCAGAATAACCATAGCCAGTACCAGGGCTTGAACTCAAGAGCCCCATACTTGCTGGCATTCTACTATTTGAGCCATGCCTCCAGCCTACCTTTTATCTTTATTTTTGCCAGTCCTGAGACTTGAACTCAGGGCCTGGGCACTGTCCCTGAGCTTCTTTTGTTCAAGGCTAGCACTCTACTATTTGAGCCACAGTGCCACTTCCGGCTTTTTCTGTTTATTATGTGGTACTGAGAAAATGAACCCAGGGCTTCATGCATGCCAGGCAAGCACTCTACCACTGTGCCACATTCCCAGCCTAGCTTTTATCTTTAATATCAGGTATCCTCACATTTTTTTTTTTAATTCTTAGGGCTAGGGATGAAACCCAGGGCTTCAGACCTCCTAAGCACAAGCTTCATCAATTAGCTACACCTCTAGCCTCTCCTCTCATCTTGAATAGAACAAAAGAACCAACATACCACTGTCTTTTTCCATAGCCATCCCCCAACACACACCCCCAAACAAAAGCAAAGCCTCACTACCTCAAGAAAGGAGCTTCCGGCTGTGATTGGGAATTTGACTTTCAGTCTATAAAGCAACCAACTTCTAACTGAATGTGTGCATCTGCCCCATCTGCACACTCGCAACCCTAAAGGAAATGCCTACAGGCTTACTTCCCAAGTGTCCTATTAATAGGCTACATGATTTCACTGTAATCTATGAGCAAGAGTGTTTGGATAGGAATTACACATTAGGTAACTGGGTGAAGGATAGCCTCATTGTGAACTTTTTGGTTCCTATATGTTTACGCATATGTTTGTGTGGTGGTGGTGGTGGTGAGGGGTAAGGTTGCTATTCAGGAGGAGCCATTAACACAATTGCAAAAGACAAAGTCACAAATGGAAATGTTGAGATTTTCTTGAGCTCTGCAAGTTATAAGCTTGAAGGAATACTCACAGTGAGCCCCACACATCCAATCCACTTTTGTTGTTGTTGGCGTTGGTGGTGGACATGGGGCTTGAACTCAGGGTCTGAGTGCTGCCTCTGAACTCTTTTTGCTCAAGGATAGCACTCTACCACTTTGAGCTACAGCACCACTTCCAATTTTCTGGTGGTTAATGGGAGATAAGAGTCTCAAAGACTTTCTTGCCTGGGCTGGCTTTGAACCGTAATCTTCAGATCTCAGCCTACTCAGCTAGTATTACAGATGTGAGCCACCCACGCCCAGCCCAACTCACTTTTAAATTCTTTTTACAAACTATCACACATAATAAAATGATATTTAACATGGCCTGTGCATTAGTATTCCCGTATGGTTTCATGCAAAAGTTCCTTCACGAACACTTCTATGATTCCCTAAGCTTCTGTTTTCTTTTTGTTGCACAAAGAATTAAATTGTCCTAAGATTGGAGGTGGGGAGCAAAACTGAAGGGGAGGGGAACAGGTTAGGAGCTGAAAGGAAGATAGAAAAAGGAGAGGAAGGAAAGAGAAAGCAAAAGCCAAAGTCAACACAGGTGGTAGGAGCAGAACAAAAGACCTGGTGAATGGCTAGGCAAAGCCAGGGCCACCACATCATTGTTCAGCACCCCAGACCACTCTGTAATAGGAAACGATGATTCATCTTCCTGGGAAGTGAAACAGAATAACGCGGGTGAGAATTCGGAAATTCATGAAGCTGGTATCAGAAAGCCCACATCAGAACCGAACAAATTCCAGTTGTGATTTTTAAAGAGGAAACCTTGCTCAAACCCACTGCAACAGACTCCCGCTGGGTGGGCTTCCTTCCACTTAACAAGCTCTTCCAGGGCTGACCTTTGCTGGAGCAGCTCGGAGGCCTAGCACTTTCCGTCGGCCTCCTGCAGGCTGACCAGATAAAGCAGAGAAATTTGGTTCAAGCCGAGTTCTCCCGCCTTCAGAGTTGAATCTTGAATCCCATCTTCCAGGTACCATACACTGACTGGGCTAGACTTCAACTCCCCTCCAGAGACAACTCTGACCTTCTCATCCCGCCCCGGGCTGCCTTCATGACTGCTCTAGCTCTGGGCCTCTCCTCCTCTTCCTTAAAGCCCATTTGGACCAAGCGCAAATCATCAACCCTAGGTCTATCACCCAATCTAGAAATAACTCCCAACATCACTGACATTAATGTCCTCTGAAACCTTCTAGAAAAAAACAAAACTATTTTGGATTCTAGAGAGTGAACTCAGGCCCTTGTGCATGCAAAGCATACCCTCCCACTGAGCTATACTTCCAGCCCAGGAAAAAAGATTGTGCCTAAACCAGCTCTCCTCATCATGTGCCTTTGCTATTCCTGAATATTAAAAACCCATAGGTGGCAATAAAAGCCCAGAAAACAAACACAACTACCTATGCTTTCTTGGTGCCTGACCCAGACCGGCTTGCTACTCACTGGCCCAAAAAGGTCAAAGCAGTTGAGCTGAGCTCCCTGTTGTCAAACACAAACAAGGCACTGGATGGCCCCTAATCTTGGCTAATGAGGCCTGAGAACAGAAGACACAACCCGCCTCCCCGCATGAGGGCAGAGCTAGCGCAGAGAGGATGTAAATGGAATCAGCACAGGCTACTCAACCTTGTGTGCGCCTCGCAGGACTTCGTTAGGTGAACCTGTGCACACCTAATAGCTTTCCAAGGCTCCCAGACAGGAATACCAGCTTGGGTTGAGGTGCACTGGGGACACTGTCAAAGGCCCTTTTGGAAATGTAGCTCAGGCAGCAGCAGGAAACAGGAACCCTGAGGAGTTAGGCACAGGCCTCTTCACACTGACTTGAGCAGTGGCTCTGCAATGCAGAGCACCCTGCAGGTCTTCACCCACTGGTTCTGGCACTGGCTGGGAAGTGCATACTTCAGAATGGCTCAGAGATCACTCTGACAGAAGACCAGGCCTGGAGATGCCTGGAAACAACTGCAGTATACCTAGGACTGGTTTACATTTCAAGAAGCAAAGAAACCCTGTCATATTGAGCAAAGGCTTTCAATAGCTTTCCTCTGTGGCTGGGCTGAAGGCTTGTGTGTCCCTGCTTCCTCCATGGCTCCCAGGTGCCCGGGATTTTCTGTCTTAGACCTCAGAACGCCAGCTCTCCCTTGCCTCTCCTGCAGCTCCCTGAAGCACTCTAGGCCCTGTCCTCTTGGAATGTCCTTTCAGCCCTAGAAGCTATGAAGAAAGGCCCACCCAGGCCTCACATGGCCTGCACTAGCTCAGGGCAGGGCCAACTGGAGGAAGTGAGCTCTTACACAAGTAATGCATCTTACCTGTGTCTGGGGTCCTTGGGTGTTTTCGCACATTGTCTCTCTTCATCCTGTGACTTGCCACCATTTTTCAGACAAAGGAATCAAGGCTCAAACATATGACATGGCTTGCCAGGGAATTCACAATTTACCAAGTGGCAGGGCCAGGAATCTGAATTTTGATTGTTTTTGTTTGGAGAAAAGAAGAAATGCCAAGAGTATGTAAAGTGGAAGGAGGGAAGGAAGCGAAGGCCAGAGGGACTTAGACAAACTCAACACCTACATAGTAAGACAGCTACCAGGCTAATTCAATCAGCTTTAGTTCATATTGTGCAGCTGAATAAAAAATAGGTAGATTAGGAGTAGAAAGGGGCTGCCTCCTTGCTGGATCTCCCATCCCTGGCCACGTTTGTACCTCAGCTGAGTAAAACCCCTCTCAGTGGCAAGCCCACCTCCCCTCGATGAGAAGCTAAGACCCAGTGCCC